GATTTTTTTTCCAAATTTTGTTGAAATGCATTAAATTCTACAACCATCCTACATTTGCTTTATAGTAGTCCTAGACACTTTAAATGATACACACGAAGTCAACAGTTGGGAAGCAATCAATCCTTTGTCGCTAGCAATCAATTGGGCCCAAAAAACACGCAAGTAAATTCCATTTAACCTAATCTTTTATAGAACTTCTGGCTGCTTTAGTTACAGCTAATACGTAAATGTAGGCGAATGCTTAATATTTAGTGTTAATTTGGAGGCGCAGTTAATTCGACTCGAAAATCCTACAATCAGCATGGCTGCTGACGAAATGAAATATCTACGAAGTCAGACAAATCTGAGGAACGAAGTCGACTGGCATTTATTTCCAGTTGGGGCGCTAAATTGTTCTTTAATTGCATACTCGAAATGATAAGGAGCCGGATTGAATAAATCTTCGTTACCAGGAACTTACCCGGGAAGAATTAGGAGTCAGAAAATCAAATTATCCGCCGATTTGCGTACTGTATGTATTCGGCGAGAGAAATCTTCCTGCCAACTTGACTCGCAAGTAATTTACTTGGATGAATGCTTTTTGCAATCGCCTTTGCGAGGATAAGAAATCAATTAAATATGCCGTAAATAATTGACTACCGAAAATCAGTCAACTCGAGCTTATTCACTTTCTTGTCCAACGATGGCCAAAATTTCCTCCCTGATTGGCCAAAGGAGTATTGAGGACTGCGCCTAGTTTACGGGGGTTTTAATCGGATTTTTTGCTTTGAATCCTGCGCAATAATTAGCATGAACATTTTTTGTGGCCCTAATCATTTCTAATTAAGCCACTGATTCAATTAGTTCCAAATATTAACATTTCCAATCGATTTGAGTTTTTACCTTCATAACATGGTACAGTAACTATTTATCCGGGTGAAAATTAATCCGGTAATTGCAAGCAAAAAAGTTTTGAATATCGTTCCCACCAATAATCGATTAATGCAACGTTATGAAGTGCTGGAAATTGAACAGCAGTGATGCATTTTAACTCTGTTTGTTCAGTAGGATGGCTATATGTGATCGATTCGTACATATACTGACAATATCGGGGCTTTAATTATCAATGCAAACATCGATTACAATTTTTTGGACCAATGTGTTGGCTAATTTAGACGTGTATATTATTTGTTTGGAGCTTGACGCTCAGCTCTTAAGTTTTCCTTAAGAAGTTTTGAACCTCTCTTAGAGTTGCAATGCAACAAAGTCTTATACAAGCTGTTGTGGTGTCCATGTGTTGATTATCATTAAGCACCATCCTGCACAAACTAGAGGGGTGATAAACGGTTATTTTTCTGTAACGGGTTACAACGTTCCAGTTCCACCTTGGTAATAGAAGGAGCAACAAGAAAATCCTTTTTTGATGACACGAACAGTTTATTACTTGTAAGAATGTCGCCAATATTTCACGTTAGGATTAGGCGTTCATAACTCATAACTGTTTTTCAGCGGTGTGAGAAACGGTTATTTTTCGGAAAAAAGCGGCTTTTGTTATGTTTGTTGGAGCGAATAAATTAATACAAACCTGCGTGTATAACAATAGCTTTGATGGATTCAGAAATGGAAGAGCCCCGTACTCAAGTGTGTTTTGAGAAGAGTTGGGCGAAAAGGTTATTTTTCTGTAACGGGTTCCAACGTTCCAGTTTCACATTGGCACTAGGTTTCAAAATGCGGTTCCAAAAGAAATATGTTATTTCTTAATTTTTTCATTAAAAATGCAGAGTGATGATGATAGTAGAAATAGTGAAGATATATAATAATTTCCTTTCTTAAAAACATAATTAAATAAAATATTCTAAAATCAAAACCAAACTTGGGTCAAAAGTAACTACTTAAAGAACAAAAAAACTTGTAATAGGCTAGAGTGATTAAATATAATATACGGTTTATATGCGAAAATGTTAGAAATTTCATTTGCATTTGGAAATGAATTCACATTTAAGAATAAAATTTTTTGCAGATGCTTTTTACTGATTCTAGTTCTTCGCGCGTTTATGATAGCTCCCGCTTTAGAAAATAATCTCTCGCATTTCATTTCACAATAACATTAAATAATCCACAATAACAACAAACAGAAATGCGTGTTTGACAAACCTGAACAAATTATTACTCGAGTTAATTTTGGTACCATCAAAAATAATTTTAAAAAAATGTGTCGACCTTCCAACGTTTATTACTATTCAAATAACTTTGATTGCATCTCTGACTGAATTTATAGTTAAAAATGGCCAGCTTGCTTAAATGTAGGTGCACATTCTGCTGAAAAAGTTTGTTATTTTACATTTCAACTGTGATGGACTTTATGTCTCAGACTCTTAGTTTGCTCATGGCTCATATGCAAGTGCACATTCTGCTTAGTTTGCTGGTAATGGACATGCAACTCCAAGTTTCTTGAGATAAATCCTTTTTTAACATTTATTACAGAATGTCAGAAAATTAAGATAAAAACGCTGAGTTACATATTCGCAGCAACTAAACAAATTTTCGCTTCTGTTCGGTTCTGTGCTAACGCGAACCATTTTTCAGGTTTATGAGACGGTTCCAAAAACAACCTTTAAATCGGACGGTTCCAAAAAAAACCGGTTAAATCGGTTAGCTGTAAC